CTCAGATCCAATGGGAAGTTGAACCTTTGATCTGTTTAGGGTACTGTGTATTTGCATTTTATAATGAGATCAAAGCCTGGTCCAGGGCAGCCCCCCCCTCCCCTCCCTCCCCTCTAAGAGCTGTGGGCTTCAGTGAAAAAGCAGTGGGAGAGTGGATGTTTGTGAGGCAATCAACAGTAGCCCACATTCTCCTTTAGTTAATTTCCATTCCTGTACACAGGTGTTGAAGTGAAGAAGTAAAAAAGAAAAAAAATGTGCCAGTAGCAACAATCTCCTCTACAGTTAAAGTTCAAGAGCAAACATTTCAAACATTTCTAAACTGGTTGAGAATTGCTCCAGATTTTCTTTGGCATTCTTCACCTCGAAGAAATGCAGAGGGGAATTGACACACTTTGCCTGGAGAGAGCCCATAAGGAGCCGCGAGAAGGTTTGAGATGAGGGTCAATGTTTCAGAGTGTATGTGGAGGCTCTACTCAATACTGTTCCTGACAACTTTTTCAAACAGAAAATATCCCAGAAAAGAAATGGCACACAGTCACTCCTTCTGCGGCTGAGGTGAGCAGAGCCTCATGTTTTCTGACGGCTGATCGGGGGGGGGGCGGGGAGAAGGACTTCTTACAGTCTGTTTGCTTTAATTACCCCTCCAGTATCAAAGTATTTCTGTAGCAAAACATGAGCTTAAATATTGTTGAAAATTGAGATACAGTTCATTTAAACGCAGCAAGAATTAAAGGCAATAGTTACATTTTTTGAAAACTACGAATTATTTTAGCATCGACCACTATTAGACAACAAATATTCTGTTAACGGTGACTTTGTGACTGATCTTGAAGTCACCATATTATCTTTAAATTATGAATTCACTATATGACTTTTAAATACAGTTAAAATACCATTTAAAACATTATTTATTTATTATTTAAAAAAAAGCTTTCACACATTTTCGGGTTATTTTCTTCTGAGTTTCACAGCAAATTAATATCACATAATACTCATTTGATGTGTAAAAAGTTTAATTTGCCGCTCTTAACATTGATGAGAAGAACTACTTTTTACTATCTTTGGAGCGCATAAGATGATTTGGCCACATTTGAACTGACTGATTTAATGTTTTCAACCAATAATTCAAATGCATGTCATAACTTGACACTGGTTCCCCGTCATGTTAGGATGCACCGGAGACATCAGCATCTACACTTACTGTAATTAAATCTTTAGCTTTGGATGTATAGTGCAGCTAGTCATTTAGCCTACTGCTCATCATGATGCATGCACGCAAGGGCTGACAAGGGGAATACCCCCTCCCCTGCAGCTTCTTGAAGCCACGCGTCTGCAAATGACTTATGAAGCAATTGCCCCACAAACAGTTGTAGCGAAAGTAAGAGACCGCCGATTGTCCTTTAATGACACGCAATACAGTATCTGTGAAGAGAAGAATCTCAAAAGGTGTGACAGCAGAATGGACAGAAATAACTCAGCTCTTGTAGTCCATTCATTTGATTACTAATCATCATTTACTAAAAAGGTTTAGTAATGAATTCCAACTATGCCCTTTGGAATTCTAAAATAATGAAACTGACCTAATGTAAAACATCTTTAAAAACGTTCTTCTGACCTCGACTGAATGGGACTGAGCGATAGATATGAATTATAAATCAGGAAGACACAGAAGTAGTACTCTGCAATCTACACATGCAGCAAGCAGAACCCTATACTCTTCTAGGAAATATGCGTTTAGGAATCCTAGTATATAAAACATCCTTAAGGAATCTGGCAGATATTCAATAAGCCGCACTTGCCATTCACCCTACAGTATACAAGCTGAAACGCACAAAAGACTGCTTGGACTGAGCTGCCAAATACAAATCAAGAGTACCTCAGAGAGCTGGAGAGGGTGTTACGAAAATCCCCGCCTAATTGCTTGCTCGTAAATGCCGAGCACATACTCCGCACTCTCCAAGGCAGCGTTCACACTTTTTGACCTTGATGAATTATCTGTTTTTATTGACAGCACTTATTGATATTTCTTAAAAGCGCCGGCTAATGGAGTTCTATTGAGATTATTAAATGAGCTGCTGGTACTGGGATTAGCCCGGTCTCATCTCGCCAGCACAGCCTGCATTATCATACAGAACAGACGCATGCGTGTGTCGAGTCCCAAATTCCAGCGACTGACATCTCCGGGGAACAGAGGAGCGATGACTACATCCGACCTACATTCACCCCACCCAGGCATGCTCGCTTCCAACTAATTATAAACGTGCACACTCAGTCACACTATAGGTGGAATCATACCATAGTAATGTCACAGTGCAGGGAAACATGACTCCCGCATGCACGTTGCATGATTATACCGTTTAAATGATGTGATCCTTTTTTGCAAAGACGCATTTGTGAGGGATTTCAAGTCAAAAACAACTCAAGAGTGACCTCCTGGAGTTTGGGGAGGGACACTTTTCTCATGCTTTTGCACAGACTTGGATGAAAATATCATTTGTGTAATGGGGTTGTGAAAATTCTCCAAGCGTAGAAACATTAGGAACTAACCTCAGGCTGTTGGAGCTCGCTCAAACGCCCCAGGTATGGAAACAGCACTATTGGATTTCATTCAAGACTTATGCAATAAAACTATTTTATAAATAGTCGATACACATTGTTTCAGTTGTTAAGATAATCTGAAAAAAAAACAATGACATGGAAAACACCCCATTAACAAGAACTGAGCAATATGTGACGCAGGCTCTAGCGTTTGAGCTCATCGTCAAACCGCATTTCAGAGTTTCCTGTACTGAGCATCCTGGTTAACGTGATGTGGTTTTTTACACGAGAGGTATTTCTACAGTTGCAGCCCACAATAAGGCCAAAATCTCTAGATCTATGCAAACCTTTACTAAACTAGAAAGTACTTGAAGGCGGCGTAATCTCAACCAATGCTGATTAAATCTATAACTTGCTCTTACACCCCATGGCGTTATTCCAGTCATGTCAAATCTACATTACTACCTACAGTTAACGGAAACACTTTCCACTTCCACATTTTATATTTCTGTAGGTGTTACCTCTGTGGGTACACAAAAAAAGTATACAAACATTGAATTGTATACATCCTAAAAGGATCTAACACTGCTTCAAACAGCATGCTTTCTTACTTCCAAAATAAACCAGACACTTTCAAAAATCCTGAAAATAGAGATTTCAGCCTCATCTAAAATGTCAAATCTTCAAAACAGTTCCTGTGATATTATAACAAACCGTTATCAATTCACACAGTGTGACATTTCCAATTCTTGAGTGCCATTTATTAAATATTTGTAGGCATTTAAGATGAGGTTTTAACAAAATAACCATTTCTTAAGTGTCTCCTGTATAAAGCAATACTGAAAGCAGCAGCTGATTTCATGTCAAAACCACACGAGACAACAAAGGAAACAAAGTCACGCGAATGGCCACACTCGTTAGCCAAGCGTAGACTAATTAATATCATGTGTCACCTTTCTGCTCCATCTACACTGGGCTGTAATGGATAGAAACAAAAGTGCAGAAGTGGCAGCAGCACTACCGGTCTGATTTGCACTGAGGACTCCCACACTGAAATGTATAAGAAGGGAACAGTATGCATTCAAGTGTCAAGTAAATGTTGCGTCTTATCTACAGTTATTTTAGTTGTGCTAGCCAGTCACACTGTTATACTTACAAGCAACAACGTCCACTTCAACCCACATACATGATGATTAACTCTCTCTCGTACAAAGAAACATTAAGAATTTAAAGTACCATAAATGATACAGATTGACCAATGAGTGCTATATGCAACCAAACCCAAACCCGCTTAAAAAAGCAACAACAACAAAAATGCTGAAAACTTGTGCCAATATCTGTAGAGAAAACCATAAGTGTGTGATGAATAGTTCAATTGGATGCTAGAGAAGGTGTGTGGTGTACAAAATCAAGACAATGCCTGTGTCTCAATGCAGGGATACATGCAGAGTGACATCACATACACTGTTGTGTTTCTGACAACTTAATAAGGGTTGATAAAGGCAAAAGAGGAAACAAAAGGTTGCATAGTGAAACAATTCATTTCCTTACAAAAAGGCACTGCCACACAAGCTCAAATCAATCCATTTATAGCCACACACACACACACACACACACACACACACACACACACACACACACACACACACACACACACACACACACACACACACACACACTCTTGTCGCCCCAGGAAATGGGCTTCATACATCTTGTCTGACTGCAATAAAGCAGTGCCTAAGATTCTATTTCCAATAAACGTCGACTGATTGGAAAACTCATTCTAATATCAATTTCCATCTGGACCCTTTAAAAAGGCAATCAGCATAGCTTCATCTCGGTATATCATGGGCTCCTTGAGATGATGACACAGCACTGGCTCTCTCTTCTGCATAATGGCCTTCTCCTATCAAGGCATCTGCAATGAATAATACCACCCATGAATGGGCTATTTAGTCTGTGTTCGCACAGATAGAGGCCACTTCTCTGAATATTAATCCAGGGTTTTACACTTCTATGCTTCTTTCAGCGCTGCACCATTTTTCATTCCGAGAAGTAAGGCACTTAGTGTGATTTGGCGCACTCGTAGTTTCTCTTTGAGCTTTCTCAGAAGTGACAATGGTGATTACCAACAGCATCTCACTTTATTTAAAATGCCCAGCGACCACAAAACAATGATTTAAGTCAAGGAAAATCAGTCTCAACTCTTTCACAAAGGCTGTCCACAGCTTACTTCAGAAGGTAAGGCCAAAGAAGAATGTTCACGAGTAAATGTATATCCACTGTTGTAAAAACCAAAAGGATATTCGGTATTCAAAAACAATGGAATAAAACTGGTTTGACAAGAAATCAGGAAGTCTGTAAAAAGGCTGAAGCCCCACTTTAATCGGAATGCAACCCAATTGCCCTTATTATGAAAATAAACTTCTACATCAGCTAGAAAGAAAGGCTTTTTCTCTTACCTTCCAGCCGCTGCCCGCCTCCCTGTAGTAGGGAAAGTTATCACAGATCCACTGGTAGATCTCGCTCAGTGTCATCTTCTTCTTTGGCGAGCTGTTGATGGCGAACGTGATGAGGCTGGCGTAGCTGTAGGGCGGCTTGCCGTCCTTGTGTTGCTGCACCTCCTCCTGGTCCAGCGTGGTGTTAGGATCCAGCATGGCGCTCTTCTTGCCCATGCCTGGCCCGTGGGCATTCTGGGCGTCCGCCTTGCGAATGGCCGCCTGCATGGTCAGCTGAGGAAGCCAATCCATGGAGGTCAGGCTACTCTCCAGCTCCGACGTCATGGCGACGGCAGGCTGGGCCGGAGGGGGGCGGGGAAAAGGTGGAGGTGGTGGTGGTTGCTGTTGGCGCTCGGTGACTGATGGAGAGTGGACCAGGTGCGGAATAACAAACAGAGACGAGTGACAGCTTGAGGATGAAGGCTCCCTCAGCTCATCAGCATGATGTCCTCCGTAGGTCAACTCTGGAGGAACAGGAAACAGAGAAGGCTTTATTAGTCAGCTTTTCTATCTCACAAAGGGAACAGGAGAGCATTGGAAATAAAAGATTATGCATATCAATACTGCAGAAAATAAAAACAAACGCAAGCTAGGAGGCACCTCGGAACAGTTGGCCAACATCAAAAACCAAGTGTCTCTGTAAAGTATGCTTATATTCGCCGTGCAGTAGATCACAAGCCCACCACTTTCTCCACCACTTGCTGCTCTCAGAGCTGACTCATAGGGACTCCATCTGCATGGAGAGAGGGAGAGTAAATGCCAGGCAATTGTTTTCACAACTGCCAGCCAAATGGGAGAATGGCTCAGGAGGAATTCCGACTCTCTTGAGGGTAGTAAACCCCCTCTCTTTTCTTCCCTGTCTGCCAGCTTGCCTGCCTGCCTCCTCCCCTTCCTCCCCCAGACGGAGCCTCTGCCGTAAACAAGCCAGCCAGTGTCGTCTTGCAAAGCCGTCGTCGACCCTCAGCGTGTCGGCCGGGCTGCGCGGGCCACAACAGCCTGTCTGCCCGTCCCTCTCGGCACACTGCCCTGCCCGGCTTAAAATAGAAGGGCAGAGTAGAAAGGTCTAGAGTTACAATCGTAGGTGAACACGCGGATCTGTGGGAAAGAGAAAAAACCCAGAGCAGGATGACACTGCAATCTGGCCGAAGGAGAGAGAAAAGAGAACAGGCGGGAGAACGAGAAATCCTCAACAAGTGGGGGGATTTTTCTCTTGACTAAGCATGCTCGCACAAGTGAGTGTGTGTGTGTCAGCATGTGCGATTTTGAGTGTGCACTCTGGCTGTCACACTGGGAATAAATAGTCCTGACTGCACTCAATAGGTCAAATACCATATCTTTCAAAAATAGTATAAGGAATCCCAATTATTACTATTCAACCACTTTGACATGAATCTTAATAAATACTATACCACAGTGAGATTAGCTTTAAATGTGTTGGTCTTTTCAGGAGTATGTATTATATTTTCACACAAATATTAAAAAAAATATGTATGTTACTTCATTAGTGAGCCAAAAAGAGTTTTGAAAAAAGCATACATTTTATGGGCATCTGCTGTCAATATGAAATGAAGCAGGAATACTGAGATATTTCTAAATTGGGCAAACTGCTTTGGCAGTCGTTTGGTCACAAGCAGTTTGTGGTTGTTCCTTCAATTGATCTCTCACAGCGGGGGGGAGCCGGTGCTCAGCAGCCAATTCAGAATCTGCCATCAGCGTGCACAGCTAGAGCCAGATGATGGAGGCTTTTTTTTCTCTTACAAATACCCAGAACTTTAAGAAGCAAAAAGCCAAATGTAGTTGGTAGAAATCATTAATGGAGTCAAGCTTTGATCATAAATACTACCTTATAATCAGTGTTGGGTTTCATCAAGAACTTTAAAGTTCCTATCCAATGTTTTTCTCTGTTAATTGCATGTACCTTTTAACCCATTGAATATCCTGCCTGTATCCTTTGTTAGGCAAAGTTCAGAGATGGCTGTACTTAGAACAGTAGTTAGTTACCTTGATTTCATTCTTATGCATTACGTGTTGGTATCATTATCACTGCTAGAGCCATCCACATAAACATGTTAAAATATTTTCACCAAACTATCGCCCAGAATGCAACTTCTAGCTCAGTTCAAAAGCTTTGAGGTTTTATCTCTATGAATACTTGTGACCTTTAAAATCTTTTGCAACTGACTGACATCAAAGTTGTCCGCAGCGGTACTATTTCAACGAGAACAGCACAACAAATGTTTTAAAGCCAAACCTTTTGATAAGCAAAGATATACGAGTGATCGAGTTTTACTTTTAAAAAAGCCTATTTTCTATTATTTTCTATTCCTCCTTCATTTAAATGTGCAGTTTGTTCACAGGTAGGAGACCTGGATGAAAACGCCAAAGACGTTGAAGTAACTTCCCCCCCCCCACTGCAGTCATGAGCCGACTGATTGATGAGCGGAGCTGCTGACTGGCTACGGAACGGTGAGTCAGCCTAATGGAGGAGAAGAGTTCCTCACCAACTAAAAGACAAACAAATCATACATAGAATATCTCCACCCTGTAACTGAAGCACAGGTGAGTCATACGCTGCTAATGACAGTGGTTTTCCCTTTTGAACGGCCGCCCATTGAAACATAAAACTCATTTCATTTTGAAGATCTTTCTTTATTGTTCTGACTGTCTGTAGCACCTTTCAAAGAGCCACCATACATTATTAGTGTTCATTTTAAGAGTATTCATCAATACTAGCCATTTACATTTGATGATTTGCAATAGAGCTGAAACACTAGGGATGTAACGATACCAAAAACTCACGGTACGATAATATTGCGATACAAACTCCACGGTACGATATTTATCACGATATTGAAAAATAAAAAAGGGAAAAAAATGTGAATTTCTTCTTTTTTTTACTTGAATTTTTCTTTCTTTATTAAATAATAAATCTGATTTGTACCGCATTTTAGTAGGATAGCAGTATTTTAAAGTGTCAATATAATAACCAGACCCTGCAATAGAATAATTCACTTTAGTTTTTCAAGTAACTCGACTCTAACTCACTCCTCAGCATCATCAAGGTTATCTTTTAGGAATATGAGCATGTCCACATTTCCAGGTAGAAGCTGGGATGTTTGGGCGTTTACAATATCCCCAGCAGTGGAAAAAACTCTCTTGCTTGGTATTGATACTGCTGGGACAGAGAGATAAAGAAGTGGGTAAAACTGTGCATTGTCTCCCCACCACTTCAAAAACAATACAGTTTTTGCCAAGAAGGTGAGGCTTATTGACAGGGCGAGATATAAATATACTGTTGGTACTTGTCAACGTCTCAAGGTATGTACATGTAGCCCTGTAAATACCATGTCCTTTTGTGTTGTCTGTTGTTTTATGTTCATGTTGTAACCTACTTGCTGCCATGTTGGACAGGTCTCCCTTGAAAAAGAGATCGATGATCTCAATGGGACCATCTGGTTAAATAAAGGTTTAAAAAAAAAATATATATATGTATATATATATTATATATATTCATTTAAAAAAAATCGCGGTAGATTGTGTCAGTCTCACGACGGTATTGAGACATTTATTTACCGCGATATTCGATATATCGTTACATCCCTATGAAACACCATATTGATCAAGAGAAAAGTCCTTGATAACCACTTTCATATTTTATGAATCCTTTCAATCATTTTCAAGAAAAAATAACAACGATGCCGACTTCCAACTATTCTTATCTGAGGATTGTCAGCGTTGATCTGTTTTTTGTTATTGCAAATCGAAAGTCTTTGGACAATCCACTGGTTTTAACACATAAGACGTTACCTAGAAACAACTCTAACGGTTGTTTATAAGGTTTTCTTTAACATTTATCAACTAGATCAAAAAAGATGCAGATGAATCATAACTGAAAATAGTAATTACTTGTAGCTATGTAATACATTTCATTTCATTAGATTGAAATGGGTGCACTGGCAGCTCAGTGTCAGGATCGGTGATCCCCCAACTCACACTAAATGCTCAGAATGAATAAGGGTATCGAAGGAGAAGTAGCAGGCAGAGCCTCGTGGCGACCACCAGAGGTGAGCTGACGGAGGGGGGGGGGGGGGATGAAAGGAGCTCCTCCCGCTACACAGAGACACATGCCATTTGACCCTCTCCGCTAATGATCCAGCTGCTACATGATCTGCAGGGCCAAGCCAGTGTCTTAATTAGAGAAACCTCGGCGGGCTGAGGCAGGAATGATGAAGCAGGGCATCACAGTCAGGCGCCCCCCCCCACTGCCTTCATTACGCTGCCAGGCAGTGGGACAGTCAGAGCAGGAACAAGCCCCGACCTGCCACCGCCGCCGCGTCAGAGATGACTGTCGGAGTGTGTTCACCAACTGGGTCTGGGGGTGAGGCGAGGAGTACTGAGGAGGCGGGAAAAGATTAGAAGAAAAAGCCAGGGGAGATGTAGCAGTGAGGGGGGGGGGCTCAGCAATAGTCTGCATCGAGGAGGTCTGAGAGTTCAGGCGCTATTATTACGAGCCCAAGGGAACTGACTTAGGATCCCAAACACATACAGCCACTTTGATCCAGCTCTAGGAAAATGGGGTTCCATCACTGTCAACGCCAAATAAAGGAAAGGGACATTTCTTTCTCAACTTTAATTTGTTTTTAGAATGGAGAGTATTTGAGGGCTGAGAGGGAGAAAAAGATGGTCAAATGTATGCTCTATTCAACACTCAAAGTTTCTTTGTCCTCAGGGGATTAATGGCAGATTTAGTTCTGAATGGGAAATGAAAGTGTTTTTTGTAACATCTTAATTTACCAAGGTCTTGACAGGATTTATCAACGTTGCCACTGCCAACAGAGCACCGACAGCAAACCAGTGATTGTGTTTTGTGTCTCAGCTTCTAAGTCTGAAGTGGCTCAATCAAACTGACAGCTTGGTTATGAAACATGTGCCAGGCTGCGCTTTTATTCAAGAATCTCCAGTGAGACAATGAGCTGAGTAACAACCAGGGATTACTCAACACAACACAGCAGATTACGTCAACTTCATCATGTTAGGCAAGTATGTACTCGATGACAAGACAGTTACTGCGTCACTTCTGCTCCCCATCGCCACTATTGCAAAATTGATGTCTGTACTTAAGCAACTACTTAAATGTTTCAGTACCCCTTAAAATGGCTGGCCCGGGATAAAATGAATACTTAAAGTGGGATATTGCTACAATGACTTTCTTTAATAAACAATTTATATAATGACAATAAGCAGCTACTTTATTTTAATCCTAATGCAGAAAGTATTGATGAAGTATTGATGATGCGATGAATGCAGAAACACCCCTGAATGTAAATCTTTACTCATTTCTGAATTTAGAATTCAACTTCTTACCGTTTTATTACGATTGGAAAGTACTGTCAATATCACATCAGAATGAAGCATCAACAGAGGATGTTGTGTTTTGTTATTTGTGGGTTAGGTCACTTTTTTC